TGAAGTCTGTAGTTTAGCTAATAGTCTGGTGTCAAGGTTACTCTCTCAGTTTTGATAACTTCACGGTTGTGCAGTTATCCACTGCATGGTTATGTAAGACATTACCATTAGGGGAAGCTGGTGAAGGGTATAAGCGAACTTTCTGTGATGCTTTTGAGGAAGGGCTTGCCCAGAAGTTAAAGGATGGGGCAGGAGGCTACTGAAAACACCTCACATTTGTAGATTTCACTGTGACTGTCTAGTGCTCCCATATGTCCTCTCACTATGGGACCCGCTCATCACAGCTCTACGACTTTTCTCTGTTAGCTTATGAAAGCCTGGAACGGGATTAGAGGAAACAGCAGGGTTAGGAAGGGGCACAGTGGACATGGAGATAACTCCTGTTGATCATAAAAACTAAGAAAATCAGAATAAAATATGGACTTTAGGTAATAATACATCATTATTTATTCATAAATGTTGCATGCTAATGTGAGATATTAATAATATGAGAACTTTGTGTGCTATTTTCTCAGGTTTTTTTTTTTTTTCCGAGACAGAGTCTTACTCTGTCACCTGCAATAGAGTGCAGCGGTGTCATCATAGCTCACTGCAACCCCACACTCCTGTGTTCCAGCGATCCTCCCACCTTGGCCTCCCAAAGTGTAGGGATTACAGGCATGAGCCACTGTGCCTGGCCTTATTTCTCAGTTTTTTTGTATATTTGTAACTGTTCTAAAAAATAAATTCTATTTAAAATAAAAAAAATTTTCCTACTTGCCTTCCTCAGAGACTCAGGTTCAGCAGAGCCACCCTGGTTTGGCTCCAAGGCACTTGCCAGGGTGTGCAGAGACAAGGAACAAGACATGTGGCGGAAAGAAGAGCCATGGAGAGGATAGGCAGAAGGACATGGGAAAGGGACACACTCAGTTATAGGAAAACAGGAGGAGGGCTGGAGGGATGGCAATGAAGGAGACTCTGCGCTTGAGGTAGTTCTTTTCCTAGACTGCCCCAGACTCCTTACCACCGCTTACCCTGCTGTGTCTCCTAGCACCTGCTGCCTCCTGGAAGACTGCGTGATCGTGCTAATGCTCTCTGCTTGTCCCTCCGAGCCACCCTCCAGCCTTTCCACCCTCTGGCTTCCCTGGGCCTGGGCCGAGAGCCTGAGCAGGGAGGGAAGTGGGCTCTGAGTACTTCTGCCCCTTCCCCGTCCCGCTGCCCGGGTGCCCAGCAGCAGCCCTCCCTGCCGCCTCTCACTGGGCATGGGGATTGCCCTGGGCTTTCCCTCCAGGCCTGGTGGTGGTAACGGTTCCCCACGGTGGGGCACTCTGCCCACATCTTGGTAAATGCTTCCGTTATTAAACTCTTCTCAGTTACTCAGTGGAGTGCCTCATCATCTCAGTTTCCAGGTGGGACCACAACTGATAGAAAAAGTTACTTACTCCTTATGTTTTTTGCCTAGTGCTTACCTTCCCCTTTAGAACATAAACTCCATGAAGACAGAGATTTTCTATGCTTTGTTCACTGCTGTGGCACTCCACAAATAAATGAGCAAATGCTCATTTTATCTGTACTGTCTCATACAGTACTCACTAGTGGCATGTGGCACTTGAAATGTGGCAAGTGAGGCTAAAAACCTGAATTTTACATTTTAATCTTCATAGCCACCTGTGGCTAGTGGCTACAGTGCCATCTAAGGAGATTTCCTGTGTTTAAAGCAATTCGCTAGCTAGTCAAGTCTCCTTGGCGACCAGAGGGGTTAAGAGAGTTGCTCACAGCAGGGTGTGGTGTGTGCTGCTTTAGTCCCAGCTACTCCGGAGCCTGAGGGAGGATCAACTGAGCCCAGGAGTTCAAGGCTGCAGTGTGCTATGATCACCCCACTGCACTCCAGCCTGGGCAACAGAGCAAGATTCTGTCTCTAAAAAAAAAAGAAAAAAATGAAAAATAATTTTTAATTTTTAAAAAATTATGAAAAAGCAAAAGAACAGAGAGAGAGAGTTGCTCAAGACTGAGGTGAGCCCCAAGGCGGGGAAAGTAACTCCATCCCTTCTGCTGTTTCCTAAGCCCTGGGGAACTGGGCTGCTGGGTTTTCTGGTTTCTCTCCGGAAGGCAAATTTGGGAATGTGTGCCTTTGAAACATTTGCATTTTAATTTCCCTGCAAACTTTCTGTGTCTTGGATAATAGAATTACAGTGTGTTCACTGCAGTCACTTAAAACCTGCAGCTTGTGAGCGCCCTGGCCCCCGGCCAAGGGAGTCTCCTGCTGCTGACTGACCCTGCCTGGAAAGTCAACTTGGAAGAGCCGCAAATGTCCTAATCCTCTTCCAAACTGCTCTAAGTAGGTTTATCCAGTGACCTGTAAAACCAAATTAGTAAAGGGACACTTTAATTCCAGCTCGTTAGAGAGCTTCTAAAATCGTTGAGAAAGCCAACACAGCAAATTCTGCGCTGGGGGGCTGAGAAACACATCCCACTTTCAAAAGCAAAATGTCCTTGCTTTCTCATGGTTTCTCTTAACCAAGTCAAGGTGGGAAGCAGTTCTTGGGAAGGAGAAAAATATGGTGGCCTAGTGAGGTCAAGTGATTTTCCCCAAGTTCTGCCAAGCCCAGCCCCGGCTCTGGTCTCCTGACTCTAGCAGGGGCAGCATTTGCACTGCTCTTGTTACTTACCCCAGGAGCGGGCTTATTGCACAATATCAGGAAATAGTCCATATGAAATCCTGGTCCACAGAGCCTGCATGTTCTGTTTTTCATTCTGCAGCTTTTTTATAAAGTGTGTTTTCCTTTCCCATAATGTCATCTGGAAGCAATTCCTCCCAACAGCTGGATTTGCTTTCGCAATTGGTAAACACGTAAAATGGAAGGCCGGGGAAATGCCGGGGCTGCGGAGGAGCCTCTCCCCGCCGCTTGGCTCGCGTTCTGAGCCTTATCTTGGGTCTCTGCAAAAGCCTCATCAAAACTGAGCACGTCTTCAAACGGGCGACCCACACCGCATTCCCTCCTTCAGAGGGTCAGCATGTTCTCTGCGAGAGAAATTTTCTGAATACTTTGCAGATAAAGTTGATCAGATGCAGGCCAGCTTGCAGCGGCAAGGACCCTGCTGCATGTGGAGCCAGAGGAGCAGCGTCGCCCCAAGTCCCCACCGCCACCTACAGAGCCCCTGGGGGCCTCTCTGAGAGCAGCACCCTCCCACCAGCTGCTCCCAAAGCCAACAAAGATAGGACGAGAGCCCAGAGAACACTAAGTGGGTCATTAAGGAAGATGCACGTCCCCCAAACGAGCTCCTCAGGGACAAGTTTTCTGGCAGATGCAAACGGAAATGCTGGGGGGCCCAGGCTGGGCGCAGCCCAGAGCACAGCTGTCTGGGCCTGCGGGTCACCCACAGGGTTAGCTCTGGTCTAAGAGGACCCGGGGCGCAGGGTAAGCTGGAATACAGCATAGGGGACAAAGACAGGCTCCAGTCAATCCATCCTCTCACGTAAGAAATGCTTTCTTTTCATCAAAGTTTCTGCATGGAGAACCAGCCGAGCTTGCGGCTGAACTCTCAGAAGGAGCAACAGGAGTGCCAGGGACCCCAGGGACCACGTTGCAGCGCTGGCCAGGTGGGGCGGGGAGGGGCGCCCTCTAAGCACCGCCAGCCCTCTCTCGGGGCTCACCCCAATGAAGGGGCCTGCCCAGTGTCATGGGCGTCTGACTGCAAAGTTCTCAGGGCAGAGAGGGGCATCCTTCCCACTGCACAAGCAAAAGGAGACTGCCACCGGGCAAGGCTCACCAGAGGACCCTGAGGAGGGTGACTGCCGGCTGTGGTGGGGGGACCCCAGCACAACCCCACCCCCACCCCCTCACCTGCTTCTGTGAGCCCATCTGCCCCAGCCCGGGTGTGTGGGTGGCTTCTCCTCACTCCTTCTATCTTGGGGTCAATCCTGGGGGCCCTCTTCCCTCCCTCTCCAGCCTGGTGGGAGTTTTTTCTTGTCTGGGGCCAGAGGACAGAAACTACATCATAAATTTTTCCGTATCTCACAGTCTCTTGCCTGGAATTTTGAAAATCTCTGAGGTTCTGGTTCTATAACAAGGCTCATTCCTTCAGCCCCTGGTCCCTCCGGTCTGGCTGCCTGGACTGCGAGGGAGGGGCCTCGGAGAACCCCTGGAGAAAGCCACTGAAGCAGGGGCCAGAGGGGTGGGTGGGCCAGAGCAGCCCATTCATTAATACTTCAAAATGGCCCTCTAGATTAAAGAAATGGAACAGAGATAACAACCTGATGCAATGTGTGGACTGTGTTTGGATCCTGATTCAAACAAACCAGCTGTTAAAAAGATATTTTGGAATGACCAGTTGAATTTGGGTGGTGTGTTAGAAAATATTAAAGAATGATTGTTAATTTGGATATGTGTGATAATAGTGTTGTGGTTATACAAAAAATGTGCTTATCTTTTAAAAGGTATATATTGGAGTATTTAAAGGTGAAATATAATGTCTGGGATTTGTTTTTAAATGCTTTTTTAGAAAAAGATGAAGTAAACATGCCAAGGTGTTCATGGTTAAATTGAGATGATGAGTATATGGGATGCTTTATACTATTCTCTTCACTTTTATGTACGTTGAAAAGTTTTATATACTAAAGAGTTGAAAATATAGATAATTTTATCATTGTTCGTAAGAATTCATAAAGGAGAACCAATACACACGTGTTTATATGTCTCAATGGTGGCTGAATTCTGTACTTAGGTCCTTAGTCCTCCCAGGGGTCAGCTCTCGGGCAGAGTAGGGAAGTGACAAGATGGGCCAGTCAAAGGTGACTCCCATGAGCTTTGACCATAGGTTGTAGTATCATCCTCAGATCCTCTGCCTGGCAAGAGGAGGGCAGGGAGCCTCACTCACTCAGGACAAATACACCCTTCTGCATTCCAGCTCCCACCAGGTTCATGGCTGTGGCTTTCTCCTCCGCAGGCTGCATTGCTATATGAGTGGCTCAGAGCCTGTGCAGAGGACAATGGGACCCAGACCATATGGCATTGAGTAACAACCAGGTAAGTTTCCTGTTATCACAGCCTTGGATTGTTCCTGCTTCCCTCACACCAAAATTTCTACATGTTCTCATCACTGTGCTGGCTGTCACCACCTACTGACTGGCTCAACACACTTGTCTTCAGGAATAATCCCATACCAGTCTCTTGCAAGACACTGGGTACAGGTCTGGGCAGGCTAAGGACTGTCCTTCACAGCCTCCTGCCAGGAGAGTTAAAGCAGGGCCTGGCACACACATTCCCTTCTTCCTGGCCCTGGGCCTTGGCACCAACTTCCACCTTTCCATTCTTGGTTGTTCTACAATTTTTAGCCTTAGCTTGGTCTTGTGAAGGATGGGCTTCTTTGCTATTTTCTTATCTCTGCTCGGCCTGTAACATAGACTTTTCTAGAAAACAATTTTTTTCCTTCTGCATTGAAATATGCTGGGTATTCTATTTTCCTTTATGACCATGAGTGAAAGGTAGGTTCCGGAAGGGCTGGCCACGTCACAGTCCTTTCTTAGTACTGACCACAGCTCGAAGGAAGACCTCACGTGGAGAGGCTGTGCTTAGAGAACGCTGCTGCTGAAAACCTGCCGGAGCAATTGCCAACGTGTTATAAGAAAAGACTGCGCTCGCAGAAACAAAAAATAAATTTTAAAAACCCTAATTATACTTTATCTGTCCAACTCAATATTTGATGTTCCTAGAATATTTTAAATGAGTTCTCTGATTTTGCTTTTCTTCAATGGTTTCCATCTTTGTCTCAATTATAAGAAGTTAATGAGAATTGCATGCCTTGCCAATAGCATCCACACTTTCTGTTTTAACATTTCTGCTCTTTCTTAGTGAACAATAAGGGCACCAGCACCACAGGACAGACGAGGGGGCTGACCTGGGACAGGATGAGTGCAGTCCAAGCAGTGACTTCACGCAACAGCTCGGACGTCTCGCTTGCCCGTGGGTCCAAATTAAAACCTAGAGAAGGTGAGTGAAGAGGGTCAGTGTATACAGTTGGAAAGTGTGGGTTGTCCGAAAGCCAAATATATACAAAAGTTGAAAATGTTGCCTCGCCCCACCCAGACCGTAAGCCCCTTGCAGGCAGGCACGTTGTCTACTCTACACATGGCTGCATCCCTGTGCCTAGGACAGATGCATGGTAGATGTGCAACACTTACTGAATGCATGAACCGCCTGTGCTTTGGAATGCTGGTAGCCACTTGTCCCATTCTATCTTGTCTTACTGTATTGTATTTTACTTCAAGATTGAAAGTTTTCTGAAAGCAGAAATAAATCTCTCCTATAAGACATACCTCATCCATAACTAGGATTCAATAACTCCATAGTAAATTATCTAATTTAGCTGATGGTTTAATAGCTTAAAGACAAAGTCCTAAATAGGTCCTGAGAAAAGGCACAGGCTGTGTGATAGAAATGGACAGTTGCTGGAACCTCCCAGAAGGCCTAAAGTACCATGTGGCAGGGAAGTCGATTTCCTGCCCCAGAAATCTGGCAAAAGAATTCACTTGAGGATTTAAGTCTCAGAAAAAATAGACCCAGGGAAGGAGGAAAGAAGGGGAGGTCTTTTCCAGGGCCTAGAGATTAAGGGTATTTAGATACCACTTAAGTAATGGACCAGATGCCAGCCAGGTTTGTGCTTCAGTTTAACCACGTTCCCTGCAAAACTTGCTTGTGGGAAGATCAGAAGCTCTGACGATCATTACTGAAGAGGATTCAGAGAAATTATTGCCTACTCCCGGTTGAAGAGAGAACAAGTCCTGGTCTTTTTTTGGTGTCAACCTCTATTGAAATGTGCTGTTGTCAAATCAAAAAGGGGACAGATTCGGAATTTTACAACTCTGATAAAAGTGAAATAAAAGGACATCTGTATCTTCTTAATCAAAGCGTGTGCCACCTGAGTCGGCTCCCCGTCTCGTCCCTTGGCCTTGGTGACTCTCGTGTGCTGGAGGTTAAGGGTTTGTTAAAGAAGATGGGTTTTGATTAAGTGTCACATTTAGTGTGATGTGACATGCTCTTTATCATTGCAAGGGAAGATTGGGGGCCAAGGGGAGCTTTATAGCTACTTCCCAATATAAATTAGGAGTCTTGGGGAATGGGTGCTTTGCAGTTGGCCTTGATCTTTCAAGGGCCCAATGAATGTGTGTATGTGCGTGTGGGTTTGGAGAGACAGCAGAAACGTCGGTTTCCAGGTTCCTGCGCTAATGGGCTTGTTACCCCTCTTAGAGTTTGACTCGCAATTGTATCACAAGGCTCCAGTTCTAAATTTGTCCACATTCTTGATGTACCAGGCAAAGGTCTTCACGTCTTTTACTCCTTTGGAATTTCAGTGTTGCCACTGCACAGATTTGAAGATGGAGAAGCAGGAAGGTGCATCCCAAGTGCTGAATGCCATTTCTAACCAGCGGCCATGGCCGAGGCCTCCCCTGACTTCACGTCGGGAGAGAAAGGGCAGACCCAGAGCCCCCTCCCTCCAAATCTAAGGTGCTCAACACACCTGCAGATTCTGGCTCTGGCGTACCTTGGAGCAGTGAGAGCTCAGAGGAAATGGGGCACAGGAAAGCCCCAGACTGAGCTGGAATGCTTGGGAGAAAGATGGGGGTGTAAGAGGCACATCCAAAAGGGACCACTCCCACCCAATGGGCACCCTGCCTCCAGCTTCACCTTCCCAAAATATCACTTGCATCGAGTCCTTTCCCTGCTCAAAATTTTTCAATAGTCCTCCCCTTCCCCACTATTGCCTATAAAGGAAAACGCACACTCCCCATCGTGGCATTCGATGCCCACACCTTGGGCACCACCAAACCAGCCTGTTCGTTGCCTCCCAGATGACTGACTTGTTCCTATCTTCAAACATTTGCTCCTGTCACTCTGCCACCTGGAATGCCTTCCCTGTGTCCCTTTCCTGTCTTCCAAGGGTTGGCTGAAGCCCTTCCTGTTTCATGAAGGAGTCACAGCCCCCTGAGATAGCTCCTTTTCTTTACTCCAAAAATAAAAATTGAGAGCCTACTACGTGCCCAGAACTACTCTAGGCCCCTGGGATAGGTCAGGGAACAAAAGAGACAGTAGGTGACAGTTGCTGTGGAAAAGAGAACAAAACAGAGCAGGGAAAGGCGGCCGCCCGGGGCGGGGCCAGCTGCAGTATTTGGAAGGGTGGTCAGGCCTGGCTCACCGAGGTGGCCTAAGCCCCTCTGGAGGGGAGAAGTCAGCCAGGCAGATGCCTGGGGAGAAAACTGCAGAGCAAAGGGCCCAGGAGGGACCGTCTCCAAGTGGACCTGCAGGCAGCACCGCTCTGCAAACGTATCTGTGGGCAAAGAAAATATAAGAAAATCCATATGGTGAAATACTGAACACAAAGCCCTCCAATGTGCCTTGCGGCTTTAAAGAAGAGTTAAAAGAGTAATGAAGGGCTGCCTACGTTTCTATTGCTACATTCAAGGGCTTTTTTAAAAAGACATCAAAATTATAGAAGTATTAATTGGCTATTGCTTCTTGATGTGGCAAACAAATACGAAATACACCTGGTGAGATGGCAAACACCCTTTTGCCCTTGTCCCTTCCTCACCTCCTGCAGCCTCAGGGCTCCCTGCAGCAGGGCTTCCAGCCTTCTCCTCTCAGACACTGCTCCAGCCTCGCTCCTACCAGGGGGCCATCTGGCCCGGGTGGAGCCTGGCGCGAGTCCCTGCTCCTGTGTGACTTGGGGAGCGGCCCAGCCAGTGTGGGCCTGGGATTCCGCACTGGAAAGTGGGTGTCCATGCAAAGCACAGGGGCCGGGCCTGGCTCAACGTCGGGTCAGCGGCAGTGGGCACTCAGGTGTCACTCCCAGTCCTGCCACAGCTTCCCTCCTCCTCTTCCTGTTGCCGCCCACCGCCCACACTTCCGTGGTGAGGTTTCCCAGAGCTCTGCCTTCTCCCTCTGCCCGCACTTCCTGTGGGGCTTCAACCCCACCCCCCCAAGACACACGCACTCTTATTAGTGGCCACGACCCGGTTTCTGTCTCCCAGCCCCTCACCTGCATTCAGACTGGTATAGCCACTGTGTGCTGAGCACCGCACGGGAGGGCTCTGTCCACTCAACCCGAGCCTGGATCAGCTCACCTGGCCTCCATCACCCCCTTTCCTGACCCCTGTACAGTGTCACCACCCCTCCTCCCAGCCTGTCATTCATCATCACTCTGGAATGTCTGCAATGTTAAACAAAGAGCCCTAGGATGTGGTCCCTACCCTTAGGGATCTCCCGGGGCAACAGACCCAGGCAGATAATTACAATTCAAAGAGGAAAGGGGTTTGACACCAGGAAGCACAGGACTTAGGTGAGATGGCAGGAGAGGGATGCACCTAGCCTAGGAGGCACAGGACTTCTCTAAGAGGGCTGAGGAGCCCACGCAAGATGTTAGCAGGAATACATTTGCATTTCAGAGCAGCTCCAGGGCTGGGACGGGAGGAGGGCTCCTGGGCTGCTTATTGCCTCAGGAAAGAAATAACTATGGCTTCCCTTTCCAGACCTCCCTCCCGCCCGGGCACTCTTACGTTAGAGACCCTGCCCCGCCTAGGAACAGGCATGAAATGCATGCCTACCGCCCACATCAAAGGTACACTGCATTGCTGTTTCCGAGAGATCTCTTATAACTTTGGTTTTTAAAATTATTTGGCTGCAAAAAAACTAATTTAATATATATTGCCTATGATTTCTTTCAAGGCCATGAATAGTCAGAAACTTGTATATGAGAAAACCCTAACCTAAAAATTGCTCTCAAATGTGATGAAATTTTTATGAAAGCAAAAGTCAACAATTAAGGGAGCTGATATAATTTGCATTTGTAGCCATTGAAAGAGATATTTGTTAATTTTAATTTTACACTCTTCTTGTATTTTGGAGCCAATATCCTCCCTCCTCCCCTCCTCTGCCACCAGATTTCCTGTGTTTTAGTGGGACTTTGGCAAGTATGTGGTCCTGGTGGTGAGCTCAGGGAGCTTAATGGGTAACTGAGCTATCAGGACCAAGCAGAATGAAGATGAGAGGGATGATAAGTCTGGTTTGGGGCACGTTAACTCCAAAGCACCTGAAAGACCCCCAAGTGGGAAGGCCCAGGGGCCTTTCAGATGTCTGGGCCTGGGGGCGAGAGGGTGTTGAGGCTGAGAGGTGATATCTAGAGAGGGAAGCAGGGTCCCACATTTCCTGTTGAACTAGAAAAGCCAGCAGACAGTGGAAGATGAATGGATGAACTAGGCACTGAGGTTATGTGGAGACCCAGTAGACAACTTTCCAATCGTCTTCTTTACAGCCACATAATATAAAGCTCCGTCCTGAATTACCTGCACCCCACTTCGGTATGTCCTTCAGAGGTGACAGTTTCAGGCTGGGCATGGTGGCTCATATCTGTAATCCTAGCACTCTAGAAGGCCAAGGCAGGAGGCTTATTTGAGCCCAAGAGTTTGAGACCAAGGCCGGGCGCGGTGGCTCACGCCTGTAATCCTAGCACTCTCAGAGGCCGAGGTGGGTGGATTGCTCGAGGTCAGGAGTTCAAAACCAGCCTGAGCAAGAGCGAGACCCCATCTTTACTATAAATAGAAATAAATTAATTGGCCAACTAATTATATAGAAAATATTAGCCGGGCATGGTGGCACATGCCTGTAGTCCCAGCTACTTGGGAGGCTGAGGCAGTAGGATTGCTTGAGGCCAGGAGTTTGAGGTTGCTGTGAGCTAGGCTGAGGCCACGGCACTCACTCTAGCCTGGGCGACAAAGTGAAACTCTGTCTCAAAAAAAAAAAAAAAAAAAAAAAAAAAAGAGTTTGAGACCAGATTGAACAATATTAAGAAACTATCTCTACCAAAAATAGAAATATTGGTTGGGTGTGGTGGTGCATGCCTGTACTCTCAGCTACTCAGGAAGCTGAGGTGGGAGGACTGCTTGAGCCCAGGAGTTGGAGGCTGCATTGAGCTATGATGATGCCACTGCACTTCAGCCTGGGTGACAGATTGAGACCTTGTCTCAAAAAAAAAAAAAAAAAAAGAAAAGGTGACAGTTTTTGATTTTCAGTCAGCTTTCCAGAAAGGAGACATGCAGTTAGTTTGCTCCTAAATATCCCTGGCTCCACTCAGACTGGAATGGTGACATTAGGCACCAAAGCACAGACTGCCGAGGGCACAGGGGACTCAGGATAACCAAAGCTTAGCACCTTCTGAGATGGAGTGGACGGCACTTTGACGTTCACGCAGGAGGCTGACTCTGAACATTGAATTACCAAAGTAATTCAAGCTCATAAAATAAAATTTGGAAAACTCAGGAAAGTAAGTTAAAGAAAATATATCATACGTAGTCCCATTATCCAAACACAAGCATTCCTCACTTTTTTAGTCTAGGGATTTTCTCTGGTTAAGGTTATTCTGTTTTATTTTAATTTTTTAAACATAGCTATAATTGTGTCTACAATTTCCTACTTTCTATATTATGTTTCCTTTCATCATTACTCACTTTAGCTTATTGTAATGAATGCATAAAATATCAACATGTGAATTTATCAAAGTTTGCTTAACCATTGCTCTGTAGTTGGATAGATTGTTCTCAATGTTTTGCTATGATAAATTTTTTGTTATTATAAATGATTTTGCAGTGCATATGCACACATAAACTTTTTTTTGGCATTTAGGGTTATTTCTTAAGATGAAGTCTCAGAAATAAAATTATTAAGTTAACAAATATGAATGCTTCTAAGAGTTTTAAATTCCTATTGCTCCCCAAAGAGGGATTAGCAAGATGTGAAATTTGAACTTCAGATGGCTTCACTGGCTATTATCACTTAAAAAAATGATGTTTTTTGCTAAGATAATAGAAAGTGAGCATTTTAAAAATGTAAACTTTATAGTGAGGTTTATTATACATTCAGAAAAGTACGCAAATCCCAAGTGAATTTTCTCAAAGTGAACACCCCTGAGTAACCAGCACCCAGATCAAGAAACAACATTACCAAAACCCTAGAGGCCACACCAGGGTCCCTTCCCCCTCATCCACCCCACCCAAGGGTAGTGGCTATTCTGACTTCTCATGCCGTAGTTAGTTTTGGAAAGTGGCGATGTTACAATTCTCATTTCCTGGGTTGCTGGAGGAGCTCACCACTCTTACACATCTCAGTTGATGAGTTGTAGTTCCTCTTCTGTAAATTGCCTTTTTAAGTTCTTTGTCCAGGAAATGGTGGATTCTTAAGCAATCTCCTAATGTTTGCCTAGTAGGCGTATAGTCATGATGACATTGTTTAAAAAAATGGAGAAGCATGTTGTACGTGTATGTTTCAGGCTATCACGATCTCACCCTGATAACACAAGAGTGCCCCCATCCTGAGTTTTACTTTCCAAGGTTTCAGTTGCCCACAGTCGGCCTTGGTCTGAAAATATTAAATGGAAAATTCCAGAAATCAACAATGCCTAAGTTTTACATGGTGTACCATTCTGAGTATCATGATGAAATCTCGCCCAGTCCTGTTCTGTCCCCATCCAGGCTGTGAATCATCCCTTTGTCCAGCGTATCCACAACGTAGACGCTACCTGCCTGCGAGTCACTTCGTAGCTCTCTCAGTTGTCAGACGGTCACAGTATTGCAGTGCTTTTGTTCAAGTTACTCTTGTTTGAATTAATTGTTATATTTTATTATTAGTTGTTGTTAAATTTTTACTGTGCCTAATGTATACATTGAACTTTATCATAGGTATGCACGTGTGTGTAAGGCTCGGCACCGTCCATGGTTTCAGGGACCCTGGCAATACCCCCGTGGATCGGGGCGCTGCCATGCGCCTCTTTTTTTTCTTTTTGAGACAGAGTCTCACTTTGTTGCCCAGGCTAGAGTGAGTGCTGTGGCGTCAGCCTAGCTCACAGCAACCTCAAACTGCTGGGCTCAAGCGATCCTCCTGCCTCAGCCTCCCGAGTAGCTGGGACTACAGGCATGCGCCACCATGCCCGGCTAATTTTTTCTATATATATTAGTTGGCCAATTAATTTCTTTTTATTTATAGTGGAGACGGGGTCTTGCTCTTGCTCAGGCTGGTTTCGAACTCCTGACCTCAAGCAATCCGCCCGCCTCGGCCTCCCAGAGTGCTAGGATTGCAGGCGTGAGCCACCGCGCCCGGCCTCATGCGCCTCTTATTTATGCTTCCCCATCACAAAGCAACATGGAGCCTCTCTAGGCAACACCTGGCAGGGCCGCTTTTCGGTGACAGAGCTCAGCCTAAATAGACCGCTGTTCTTTCAGTGACTGTGAGAATTACAGAAATAGGTCACTGAACCTTTTTAAAAATAGAACTGACACATTTGGGGAAAAGCAATTTTTCTGCTGAGATAGCACACAGTACAAGATGAAATGATCTCTAGAGGGTAGATGAATTTAGACATTTGTTATTAAAAACAAATAAATATTCTTAATGATAATGACACCCAGGAAATATGGTGTCTTTCATAAGAAAAGTCTCTAAACATTGTTACCTAAACAGCCTACATAAAGTTTCAAATAGAGACTCTTCCAAGGGACGAGCAATTGCTGGCTAGCCCCTGCCTCGCCACACCTGGCTCTTGCTAGGAAGAGAAGGGCCAGTCATCGACTGTGGGTGGCATTTGCTCCCTCTCTAACGCCAGAATGTCCTATCTCACTGAGTTTGCTTTCTCCCTGCTCAGGTTCCTACACAGCCCACCAGCTCACCCTTGGACAGCTACATGTGGCTGTGTGACAGCCAGGGACAAGGTTATTTTGCCACCCATGAGCAGCTCTGATCCTGTGCTTCCAGCAATTTTTGCCCAAGGCTCCCAAGAGCTGCTCTGCATGGGCCCCTTTT